GAGAAGATGGTCACGGTCCACGAGGCAAGTACAATATACTCGGAAACCTTACATGTCTTCCGAAAAGTACGGGATACTGGGAACCACCTTAATGACTTACACAGACACAATATACTGGGAACCACCTTAATGACTTACACAGACACATGATACTGGGAACCACCTTAATGACTTACACATACACAGGATACTGGGAACCAACTTTATGACTAACACAAGATACTGGGAACCATCTTAATGACTTACACAGACACGTGATACTGGGAACCACCTTAATGACTTACACAGACACAGGATACTGGGAACCACCTTTATGACTTACACAATATACTGGGAACAACCTTTATGACTTACACAAGGTGCTGGGAACCACCTTTATGACTTACACAAGATGCTGGGAACCACCTTTATGACTTACACAAGATACTGGGAACCACCTTTATGACTTACACAAGATGCTGAGAACCACCTTTATGACTTACACAAGATACTGGGAACCACCTTTATGACTTACACAATATACTGGGAACAACCTTTATGACTTACACAAGATACTGGGAACCACCTTAATGACTTACACAAGATGCTGAGAACCACCTTTATGACTTACACAAGATGCTGGGAACCACCTTTATGACTTACACAAGATACTGAGGACAACCTTTATGACCAACACAAGATACTGGGAACCACCTTAATGACTTACACAAGATACTGGGAAACACCTTTATGACTTACACAGGTATAGGATACTGGGAACCACCTTTATGACTTACACAGGTATAGGATACTGGGAACCACCTTTATGACTTACACAAGATGCTGGGAAACACCTTTAAGACTTACACAGGTATAGGATACTGGGAACCACCTTTATGACTTACACAGGTATAGGATACTGGGAACCACCTTTATGACTTACACAAGATACTGGGAACCACCTTTATGACTTACACGAGATACTGGGAAACACCTTTATGACTTACACAAGATACTGGGAACAACCTTTATGACTTACACAAGAAACTGGGAACCACCTTAATGACTTACACAAGATACTGGGAACCACCTTTATGACTTACACGAGATACTGGGAACCACCTTTATGACTTACACAAGATACTGGGAACAACCTTAATGACTTACACAAGATACTGGGAACCACCTTAATGACTTACACAGACACAATATACTGGGAACCACCTTAATGACTTACACAGACACATGATACTGGGAACCACCTTAATGACTTACACATACACAGGATACTGGGAACCAACTTTATGACTAACACAAGATACTGGGAACCATCTTAATGACTTACACAGACACGTGATACTGGGAACCACCTTAATGACTTACACAGACACAGGATACTGGGAACCACCTTTATGACTTACACAATATACTGGGAACAACCTTTATGACTTACACAAGGTGCTGGGAACCACCTTTATGACTTACACAAGATGCTGGGAACCACCTTTATGACTTACACAAGATACTGGGAACCACCTTTATGACTTACACAAGATGCTGAGAACCACCTTTATGACTTACACAAGATACTGGGAACCACCTTTATGACTTACACAATATACTGGGAACAACCTTTATGACTTACACAAGATACTGGGAACCACCTTAATGACTTACACAAGATGCTGAGAACCACCTTTATGACTTACACAAGATGCTGGGAACCACCTTTATGACTTACACAAGATACTGAGGACAACCTTTATGACCAACACAAGATACTGGGAACCACCTTAATGACTTACACAAGATACTGGGAAACACCTTTATGACTTACACAGGTATAGGATACTGGGAACCACCTTTATGACTTACACAGGTATAGGATACTGGGAACCACCTTTATGACTTACACAAGATGCTGGGAAACACCTTTAAGACTTACACAGGTATAGGATACTGGGAACCACCTTTATGACTTACACAGGTATAGGATACTGGGAACCACCTTTATGACTTACACAAGATACTGGGAACCACCTTTATGACTTACACGAGATACTGGGAAACACCTTTATGACTTACACAAGATACTGGGAACAACCTTTATGACTTACACAAGAAACTGGGAACCACCTTAATGACTTACACAAGATACTGGGAACCACCTTTATGACTTACACGAGATACTGGGAACCACCTTTATGACTTACACAAGATACTGGGAACAACCTTAATGACTTACACAAGATACTGGGAACCACCTTAATGACTTACGCGAGATACTGGGAACCACCTTTATGACTTACACAAGATACTGGGAACAACCTTTATGACTTACACAAGATACTGGGAACAACCTTTATGACTTACACAAGATACTGGGAACCACCTTTATGACTTACACAAGATACTGGGAACCACCTTAATGACTTACACAAGATACTGGGAAACACCTTTATGACTTACACAAGATACTGGGGTCCACCTTTATGACTTACACAAGATACTGGGAACAACCTTTATGACTTACACAGGATACTGGGAACCACCTTTATGACTTACTCAAGATACTGGGGACAACCTTTATGATTTACACAAGATACTGGGAACCACCTTAATGACTTACATAAGAAACTGGGAACCACCTTAATGACTTACACAGGATACTGGGAAACACCTTTATGACTTACACAAGATACTGGGGACCACCTTTATGACTTACACAAGATACTGGGAACCACCTTAATGACTTACACAAGATACTGGGGACAACCTTTAGGACTTACACGAGATACTGGGAACCACCTTTATGACTTACACAAGATACTGGGATCCACCTTTATGATGTACACAAGATGCTGGGAACCACCTTTATGACTTACACAGGTATAGGATGCTGGGAACCACCTTTATGACTTACACAAGATACTGGGAAACACACCTTTATGACTTACACAAGATACTGGGAACCACCTTAATGACTTACACAAGATACTGGGGACAACCTTTAGGACTTACACGAGATACTGGGAACCACCTTAATGACTTACACACGATACTGGGAACCACCTTTATGATGTACACAAGATGCTGGGAACCACCTTTATGACTTACACAGGTATAGGATACTGGGAACCACCTTTATGACTTACACAAGATACTGGGAAACACACCTTTATGACTTACACAAGATACTGGGAACCACCTTAATGACTTACACAAGATGCTGGGGACAACCTTTATGACTTACACAAGATACTGGGAACCACCTTAATGACTTACACAAGATACTGGGAACCACCTTTATGATTTACACAAGATGCTGGGAACCACCTTTATGACTTACACAGGTATAGGATACTAGGAACCACCTTTATGACTTACACAGACACAGGGTACTGAGAACCAAAGTTTGTAAACGTCGACGACTTCCGTCGCTTTGGGTTGTCTTCCCGCATGATTCCGACACGCCGTGATAGTACGGAGCTCTGCGTCAAACCAACATGCTTACACAGTGTTCGTTAGAACAAATAATATCTACATGATCAATAATTTCAGTAACGATCGTAAACTAAACAACGGGCAATTATGCATAAAGGTCATATAAAAATAGATTCTAGGCAAACGACGGGTACAACATGGTATCTGTATCGGTTCAATGGTCAGAGAATTACCTGTGTCCTGTGAATATATTATTTATACACATATCAAGTACCAAGTACCTCTGATCTACACAGATACCATTCACAGCCTCATTGTTCTCGTCATTTGCTCAACGTGATATCAAGTCCTTTAGTCCAGCTCCATGGATATAAATCTATAAGTTAAAAACAAATATATTGACTCGGACCAGAGGCCTGGCGTCGACATAAGCACAATACTAACAGCATCAGATCCCCCAAAACAACATACATTTCAAATACATGTACTACGTTTAGAACTATTCCAAGTTACCAAGATCTTTGCATGACTGAATATCGTGGTACTAAGACAACTGTTCTCGTTTTCCCTCTGTTTTACCGTTGCAATTTCCTCAATATTGACTCATATTGCATACATGTCTTTGAAGAATTATCGATCTTGTTTAATATTCAGAAAATCCATAGGTAACAGAAATGTCTAGCGATATGTAAAAAATAAATATCGATCTTTGTTGTTCAAGTTGGCTGTCATGGCAAATAATAACGAGGTCGATAAGACTGCATCGGTAAATATTCTAATCTTAACTCAAAACGCTATTATGTGGACAAAAAAGAATTGTATATTAGCACTATGACGTAGCAGATCCATATAATGGACAAGAAGTGTTTTCGTTTAAACCCTGAACCTCACAAGCAAAACAAAATTTCTTCACTAATTATACTTTAGGTCATAAATGATTTTAGATCTCGGTTAAAATATTAATAGACTGGAATCAGGTTTTAAACACTTACCAATTCAGCTCCCCGCCATGCTGAACATACTTACGTGGCCATCTTGTCACAATCAACCAACATGCTGTCTTTAACAAATATGGTCAACAGAAGCCTTATTGCCACCGAAGACGGTACCGTATTTCATATAGAAGGTTAATATTTGCACACTTTTACACAATCTGGGGCGGTGGGGAAGCCTTGTGGTTAAAGCGTTTGCCCGTCACGCCGAAGATGCGGGTACAATGTGTGAAGCCTATTTCTGGTGTCACACGCCGTGATATTGCTGGAATAATGCTAAAACGGCGTAAAACTATACGCGCTTACTCAGTTTACCCGCCCCATTAAAATCAGACCTTTGATACCATAGTTCTCTGCGCCAAGCCCTGTTAACACTTCCATAGAAGGTCACGTCAGAAGGACTGTCCAGTCTAAATGAAGGATGCGTGGGTTCATAAGACAATCAAATGTCAGCATTATACAACAATTCAGGTTCATTTCTCTACAGCCTCGATTTGTACAAATATTCCTTCGAAGGTACTCCCTTTTGAATGTAGATGTGATGAAGCTGAGCCCCGACAGGGTGTAGGACATTTCCGCAATATAATGGCGCGGCTTTATTGTTTGGTTTGTCGAAAGTGTCCTCGAATATATGCGATTTCAAGATACCGATACAGATACAGAATCAACAACACGAGGAACTCTACCCGAGAATCAGAACCACAACCACCTCTACCCGAGAATCAGAACCACAACCACCTCTACCCGAGAATCACAACCACAACCACCTCTACCCGAGAATCAACACCACAACCACCTCTACCCGAGAATCAGAACCACAACCACCTCTACCCGAGAATCACAACTACCAATACCTCGACCCGAGAATCAGAACCACAACCACCTCTACCCGAGAATCAGAACCACAACCACCTCTACCCGAGAATCAACACCACAACCACCTCTACCCGAGAATCAACACCACAACCACCCCTCTTCCCGAGAATCACAACCACAACCACCTCTACCCTAGAATCACAACGGCAACCACCTCTACCCGAGAATCAGAACCACAACCACCTCTACCCGAGAATCAGAACCACAACCACCTCTACCCGAGAATCACAACTACAAACACCTCTACCCGAGAATCAGAACCACAACCACCTCTACCCGAGAATCAGAACCACAACCACCTCTACCCTAGAATCAACACCACAACCACCTCTACCCGAGAATCAACACCACAACCACCTCTACCCGAGAATCAGAACCACAACCACCTCTACCCTAGAATCAACACCACAACCACCTCTACCCGAGAATCAGAACCACAACCACCTCTATCCGAGAATCAACACCACAACCACCTCTACCCGAGAATCAGAACCACAACCACCTCTACCCGAGAATCACAACTACCAATACCTCGACCCGAGAATCAGAACCACAACCACCTCTACCCGAGAATCAGAACCACAACCACCTCTACCCGAGAATCAACACCACAACCACCTCTACCCGAGAATCAACACCACAACCACCCCTCTTCCCGAGAATCACAACCACCTCTACCCTAGAATCACAACGGCAACCACCTCTACCCGAGAATCAGAACCACAACCACCTCTACCCGAGAATCAGAACCACAACCACCTCTACCCGAGAATCACAACTACAAACACCTCGACCCGAGAATCAGAACCACAACCACCTCTACCCGAGAATCAGAACCACAACCACCTCTACCCTAGAATCACAACCACAACCACCTCTACCCTAGAATCACAACCACAACCACCTCTACCCGAGAATCAGAACCACAACCAACTCTACCCGTGAATCAGAACCACAACCACCTCTACCCGAGAATCACCACCACAACCACCTCTACCCGAGAATCAGAACCACAACCACCTCTACCCGAGAATCAGAACCACAACCACCTCTTCCCTAGAATCACAACCACCTCTACCCTAGAACCACAACCACCTCTACCCGAGAATCACAACCACCTCTACCCGAGAATCACAACCACCTCTACCCGAGAATAAACACCACAACCACCTCTACCCGAGAATCAGAACCACAACCACCTCTACCCTAGAATCACAACCACAACCACCTCTACCCGAGAATCACAACCACCTCTACCCGAGAATCACAACCACCTCTACCCGAGAATCAACACCACAACCACCTCTACCCGAGAATCACAACCACAACCACCTCTACCCGAGAATCAACAAAGGTCGATGATATCGATATGTAACGCTTGGGGCGGGCGCGTAAATGAAGATAGACATATAAATTAGGTTGGCCCCATTTGGACGATGCTACTGTACTAGTTTAATTCATTGTTCATGAAAGCGTTTGGTTACCTGACGATATTGATTACAAAATGAAGTTTATTCGGTCTACAGTGGTGGATGTGCGTATATTTATTCTGTTATTGATTTTGTACTTGTTTTTTACTGTTCTGTGGCAAGGAAATTGACGTATGTACAAGCAGTACAGCTGCAAAGTCCCTTGTCACCTCTCTTGACGTGCGTCGTCCCAAAGGCGGGCACGGTAGTGGCCTATTGTTCCTTATACATACCCTTATGAATAAAATAGTTGGATCCACGGTTGCCAGGAGATGCTGGTGCCACATAAGACGCCATTTTGAATGGCATTGGCTGATAATATCCAAGGCGCGGGACAAAAGTAAGACGTCATTGCATTCGCCGTGAAATAGTGAAAAGTGCGGCGCAAAACAACATCCCTCTACCAAACCATTAGACTTGCCCCCTGAAATCAAGCTCCAGCGCTGTCGGGACTATAAATTATATTCTATGTCCGCCCGTACACTAAAGAAGATATGGGGTTATAAAAACTTAACATGACACCCGACAATTGACGTCACAAGCGTTCTGCAAAATAAAACATATTTCCGCTGGTTTCAGGTTTTCTAGGAGAAGTGTTGTCAGTGACTTGTTTGTGTGCTAGATGAGCACATCCACACTAAATGTTACAGTGGAATTTGTCACTGTAACTCATCACCCAGAATCCATGGAACGATAATGGTCACATTATACTGACGCTGTGTGTACTCGGAATAATTATTTTATTCCTTTTTAGAATATTCGATATATTTCAACATTTTTGTTGTCACTGTGTGCGATTAAACATTGTAAATACATCGATCTCCTGTTTCACAAACCTAACATGTGTACGTATTTGTTCGGTGAAAATATTTCTTCACTGCGTGTCACGTTTGGCATACACTAGCACTGATCTAAAATACTTGATTCGCAATTCGATTTTCCTAACAATAACAATCAGTTATCTAAACGTTCTGGTGCAGAAGCGCAAAAGGGTATATGAAAGGTTAATTAATTGTGATTTGAACCTGCGAGATTCGGATACTGGCAGACCTAAGGGACGCAACTTTGTTCCGCGAAACGCGGCACCGTCAATCAATTGGGCCACATGTGATCTAGATTGTTATTGTGAGCAAAACGATTATATGGATAATTACAATATGCGATATCATTTGTGTGAGTGGGTATGGTTTTACGCGGCTTTTAGCATTATTCCAGATACAGTCAAGTCTCGTTAATCCGACACTCGTTAATCCGACACTAATGATGGGAACCGATTAAATCAGTGCTATTTTGACCCGTTAATCCGACAGTCTCGCACTCCGACTCCGACGCACCTAATTTGCAACGATTTACCGAAATCACTCATTAATCAGTCTCGTTAATCCGACACAGTGATTCAGCGTACTCCGTGGTCATCTGCCCGCGAGTACACAGCCCGTGTTTTGATGCGAGACGAATCGGCTGGTAGCTGCATATGGTTCATTCGCAGGACGACGACCCTAACACTAACGGTGCCTAGCCGGGAGAGCCACATTTCAGAAATGGCTTTTGCCGGTAGAGCCACATTTTCAGCTGAGTGCATTTCACCTATTCTAGCGGGTAATTAATTAATCCGATTACCGATACCTTTATATGAGTGTCCCACGTTTAAATTACTAAGCGTGGTGTTCTTTAGAGATGTTTTGACAGCATAGCCGCGAGAGCCACATTATACAATCACGCAACCATAACCATTGCCCGACAGCCACATCAATTTTCGAAATCTGGCTTTGCCGGCCTGTAACCACACTAACCAAGGAGTTAATCCCCTCCTAAAACAACACCACACATCAAAGGCGTACCGGCGGGTCGTCGTCCTGCGAATGGAAAAATTCGAGGGGTCGTCGTCCTACGAATACCCCCTGCATATTACTACGGCTGCAGAGATAACGTTGCTTAACAATAAACAATTAATGCTATAAATAAAGAAAACAGGATAATTCACATGCTTAGATTACCTCAATCTTATTAAAATCAGATATAAGTTCTCGCTATCGACGAGGACATCCCATTACAGGTCACGTCAGAACAACCTTTCGCGAACTATGACCTACCAATGAAATTACCAACACTTAGAAAGCAGCTTTCTTAAGCTTTGGGTACCAGTTTCAAAGTTGCGACTTACATTCCAGACTATGCTTTTTAAAGTATTTTGAATCGGTCATACAGTCCGTAACAGTTGTTTTGTGTTAAACTTTAGAGGTTGCATGATTAGAAAACATATTCCGCCAAAAATGTAACATAACAATAACTTGACTGTATATCACGGCGAGGGTCACCAGAAATGGACTTCACACATTGTGATGAGCGCGTTTTAACCACTGGACTACCCCACTTCCTCTGCAAAAAAAACCCCGCAAAAGCAGTAAAATCGTAGATATCTGACGGAGTGTTGCCGACATATTGGTCATTTCTGCATGGATTGGGTTTGATTTGTGTGAAAAGAATGAGGTACTGCAGACATTGGGTGAAAAGATGGAAAAATCGCAAAAACACAACCACGTGAGAGCCTGGCGCCGAAACACACCAACATGACATGCACGTGAAACATCACTTGTTGGGCTATAAAACAAGTGAAAATTGGTTTTCATTTGCATGCCAACTCACTCTAACAGCAAGTTAACAGGGAAGACATGTCACGACTGAGGGAAGCCCAACGCATCAACGCCATTGTACGACTGCAAACAGGAAAATAAATCATCATCAGCTGTAGCCAGGTTTTTCCACGTAGCACCAAGCACCATTTTAATACAGGTGTGTGGAACTGTTATCAGACACACGGGACCTTCCCGTTCCACCACGTATCACTACCCTATCACAGGACAGATTCTTACGGCTACGTCACTTACGTGAAAGAACCACCACGGCAACCTCTACAACTACATCTTCCCGAGGCAAGTGAGTTAACTGACTATAAAAGTCCAGTTTCCACCCTTGCCGAACTAGGCTGGTATTATGGAGTTACATTTTGGCTGGACTAACGAGTCTATGCATAGTCCAATCAAAATCGCGCACCGAAATCGAAATCCAGTTCTTAAAGTGTCATGCAGATTTCGGTCGACTGCAGGATGTGCAAAACATGTGCACCGCTAACTCGTTGTCAACAGATGTTTTCGAAATCTTTTCATGTTTTTGATCAAGGTGCTCACGTGATTTGATGCACTTCGCGAGGTAAGACTCGTTTTATCACAATATAGATCTTGATTATCGATCAGATCGTCTTGACTGGGTGCCACCGTTTTGTTTGAAGCAAACGCAAGTGATACGAGAGGTTGAATCTGATTGGTCAATAGGAGAGGCATAGAAAGGACATAACTCGTAATAGCCACTGGTGGCGCTACGATCGAGCCCAGGAATTCCAGCCTAGTTCGGCAAGGGTGGAAACTGGACTTTTAAAGTCAGTTAACTCTCTTGCTTCGGGAAGATGCTACAACTACGGCAATACCAGGATTGCATAGAATATCATCCCAGACAGTGAAGAACCGTTTACGCGCTGAAGGTATTCGCGCTGGACGCCCAGTTCGAGGTGCCATTTTGACGGACCTGCATCATCGGCTGCGACGTCAATGGTGTCAAGGTCATAGAGTATGACCACAAGTGCGATAGACACAGGTTTGATGACGAGTCACGTTTTTATACTTCGCCGTGCGGGTGGTAGACGTCGTGTTTACAGGCGTCTTGGGGAACGTTATCCACAAAAGTGCATACAGATGGACGGATTTGGTGGTGATGATGATGATGATGATGATGATGATGATTAGACGGGCAGCCATCTTTTACATTGGTATAACCCCAAGTTCTGAGGAATGCAACGGCACAGCGTATCACGGATCAGATTCTTCGGCCACACGTCCTTCCCATTATGCAACTTACGCGGTAAGACTGACTACATCTTTTGTCAGCAATCACAACATTCAGGTCTTGTCATGGCCACCCAGGTCTCAAGATTTAAACCCTATCGAACAATTATGGGATGCACTGGATCAACGACTGCGAGCACGTAAGCAACAATGACAGAATATCCAACAGTTGGCACAAGCACTGCAGGCAGAGTGGGTGAACATTCCCCAGGCCACAATTCGGAATCTGATTGGTTCCATTGGACGACGATGCCAGTCAGTTTTGGGCTCTAATGGTGGCAATCAGGGATCCGGAAAATTTAAAATCTCAATCGGACATTTGTATTTAGGCCACGCCCCCTTCAAATAGCGTATTTTATTACGACTTTTCAAACACATTACAAGTTATGTACAGTGTTCCCTCGTTATTGCGCGCTTCAATTGCGCGCTTCAATTGCGCGCTTCAATGAAGGTCATCTGTTCTTAATATCACGCATCGCCAGTGGCCATACAAGATATTAAGAACTGATGACCTTCATTTTGAACATCTACTGTTCCATGTGTGTCACATTGAACCTGGGTCAATGATAATGATGTGTTCCAATTTTGTACAATCGATTATCATCTGTTGATTATTTACATGATACATAAAATATACATCTAAAAACACTTTTGCGTTTCTTTTTTTTCGCAGAATAATGAGGAAACGAACTCGATTGTGTGTTAAACACCATATGATTGAGTGAGACAAGATTGAATTTATGATATGATATTACCCAAAGATTTTGTCAGCTTCTGATCTGAAAGCTCCATCCAAATTTGGTTATTCGCCTTCGCAAAACCGTTTGAAATCTCTCCTGGCCTGGTGTTCCTCCTTGGTTCCGTAAGCAATAAGTACGCACCATATATACGTATCAACAAGTGCAAGTGTATCATTATATGCTGGTGTACATTGTCTACGTATGTGTGTACGACTGGACTGTAAATGAGTGAATACTGTTTAACGCCGCAACAATCCAGCTTCATCACGACGGCCTGTATTATCGAATCTAGAACAGACAAACCAGTGTCTGGACAACGATGCGCGGCATAACGAATCTGGACTAGACAAACCAGTGTTTGGACAACGATGCGTGACATAACGAATCTGTACCAGACAAACCAGTGTCTGGACAACGATGCGTGACATAACGAATCTGGAACAGACAAACCAGTGTTTGGACAACGATGCGTGACATAACGAATCTGGAACAGACAAACCAGTTTCTGGACAACGATCGTGACATAACGAATCTGGACCAGACAAACGAGTGTCTGGACAACGATGCGCGACATAACGAGTCTGGACCAGACAAACGAGTGTCTGGACAACGATGCGCGACATAACGAATCTGGACTAGACAAACGAGTGTTTGGACAACGACGCGTGACATAACGAATCTTGAACAGACAAACCAGTTTCTGGACAACGATGCGCGACATAACGAATCTGGACCAGACAAACGAGTGTCTGGACAACGATGCGCGACATAACGAATCTGGAACAGACAAACCAGTGTTTGGACAACGATGCGTGACATAACGAATCTTGAACAGACAAACCAGTGTTTGGACAACGATCGTGACATAACGAATTTCTGAACAGACAAACCAGTGTTTGGACAACGATGCGTGACATAACGAATCTGTACCAGACAAACCAGTGTTGGACAACGATGCGTGACATAACGAATCTGGACTAGACAAACCAGTGTCTGGACAACGATGCGTGACATAACGAATCTGGAACAGACAAACCAGTGTCTGGACAACGATGCGCGACATAACGAATCTGGAACAGACAAACCAGTGTTTGGACAACGATTCGTGACATAAAGAATCTGGAACAGACAAACCAGTGTCTGGACAACGATGCGTGACTTAACGAATCTGGAACAGACAAACCAGTGTTTGGACAACGATGCGTGACATAACGAATCTGGAACAGACAAACCAGTGTCTGGACAACGATTCGTGACATAAAGAATCTGGAACAGACAAACGAGTGTCTGGACAACGATGCGTGACATAACGAATTTTTGAACAGACAAACCAGTTTCTGGACAACGATTCGTGACATAAAGAATCTGGAACAGACAAACCAGTGTCTGGACAACGATGCGTGACATAACGAATTTTTGAACAGACAAACCAGTGTCTGGACAACGATGCGTGACATAACGAATTTTTGAACAGACAAACCAGTGTCTGGACAACGATGCGTGACATAACGAATTTTTGAACAGACAAACCAGTGTCTGGACAACGATGCGTGACATAACGAATTTTTGAACAGACAAACCAGTGTCTGGACAACGATGCGTGACATAACGAATTTTTGAACAGACAAACCAGTTTCTGGACAACGATGCGTGACATCGGGTCACGACGACCCGCAACAAGTCCCGTGACTTGACCATCATTTCAATTAGTTCCCTCTTACGCGACCAGCATCATTGGGTCTGGTGACCTATTCTAACCCAGCTCCCAGCGGCGTTGTTCCGCCGAAATAGGTGATGTCTAATGTCATCCGTGGCTACTCCCTACCGTGACCGTGATGTAACAAATGGGAGCATCGGTATTGACGACACAGTAAGCACGTGAATGTCGCCATTTTCTTTTTTCCTCTAATTGCTGGTAATATCACTTAGTGCCCGGGCACAACTAATTACCAATTAATGATTACTTAATTGCATCGCATATGTGAGAAATGCAACATACCATTATATAAAAACATTATTTATTAATAATACAGGGTTCCTTCTCTGTCCGAGGTATATGTCAGTTCGTTTGCTATGTCAATACTCACACTGTAATTTCCCAAATAAACAATATTTTCTTATTTTATTCTTTTTAATTTCATATATAACACTAACCGCATGTTAGTATCCATTATTATGATGTGCAATATTTACGGGTTGTATTTTCGGGGATTTTAAAAACAATAATTTAAATACAAAATCAAAATTTCAAGAACGAATCCGTCGCCAAAGGAAAAGAATTTAAGTAACATTCTTCCTTAGACTAAGGACAGGGGAGATAACTTTGTTTCATTGTATGTATGCACTGAAGTGTCAATTCTTATCCTTGTTCTTAAAAGCAGAGAAGGGGGGGAGAGGGGGTGGGGAAAGATGGAGAGACGGGGAGAGCCGAGCTACCTTAATAGTATCATCAATCCATTGGCCTACTATAAGGGACAAATCAACATTTGATATACATTATTAAAATATTTTTCATCTTTCTTTTTACTTTAGCAATGTATTTTCTTAATCACTGGTGTTTGACAGAGGCGCTTAAAGAATTATCAAAGTACAAAATGACACGTTAATTCAGTCATATACATTTATCGTTTGTTGTAGCACAGTAAGAAAGTAAATGTTCATTCTGTTAAAACATCATAAATGTTAGGGTGACGTTACTGATTTTATATGCGCTTCAAATAGATTTAACTGGTTGCCAATACCCTATTAGAGTACAGTGCCCTTGTCGCGTAAGAATATTAAAGAGTAACATTGAAATAAACATGAAAGAGGTCATGTTAATAAAATAGCCACACACAATATATTTTGCATAGATGAAACTATAGATGTATTAGCTGGTGATGTATTAGAGTGATGCAAAACTCAAACAAATATTATGCGGAAGTTAAACTTCGAACTATATATGTCATGGCGGATGCTGCACTAATATCAATAAGTGAGGTTGCAGTGGCACAATGGAGGGGCTGAGAGTACCGGAGATGTACGAAGGAGATATCATTTTATAGCATTGTGTATATTCTTTGAATGTGAAATTATTTTAACAGATTAAGGATGGTGCAGAAATATAATTCACCCGTGAGGGTGTATAAATACCCATTCGAACTTGTCATGGCGGTAAGTTTCACAACTTTACGTATTATCACAACTGTCACCTGAAACTAACATTACGAACTTGACAGATTATTCTTTGTGTAGAGGTCACATCATCCCCCTACAATTTAAAAATGTTTTCAGTATTTTTGTATTTTTACATTGTTTGGACTCAATTCACCATTTGATCATGATTCATGTGTCTAACCGGGATACAGTATGACAAGTTGACAACCAGAATCTTCTTTTTATTTTCCCAGCAGCATTTAGGCATGCAAGTCCTACTAAAAAAACTTTAGCCCACAAATAGAAAATGTGAACTCATATCTAATCTTTTTGGTTTTTACAAATACCAACCAAAAGTCTACATTTCCAAAGAAGTGACATTTAAGCTGAAAGCAATTCAGTTGACATTTGGTTGTGTGTAGGGCTGGTTGTGTGTAGAGTCCACATTTACTACCCGGGTACTCCCCCCACTATTACCCGACCCTATCCGGGTACACGCTTTAGGTCTCAATAGATAGGTACAAATGTCGGATTGGGAATAGTTTGACCGTAGCCCTGGCAAAATGTCTTTAGATACGATCTGGTCATGCAAACTCTGAAGTTTCTATTCAAATTTATAAAGTCAGAAAGAAATGCAAACAATTTTTGCCATGAAATCATATATCACGTGACTAACCACGGGTCCGGGTAGTCCTGTGGGTATCCGGGTCCTACTCAGGAACCACCCGACCCGAGTTACCCCTCCCAGCCCTAGTTGTGTTGTATTCATATTGACATACCGTATTGAAATAAGCGCCCAGGGCGCTCTCTAAAATGAGAAATTGGGAGCTCTTATTAGAATATTATTTTGTGAAAAACAACAGAGTTGAAAGATAAATTTCGTGGTTTATGCTGACAGCCTGAAATGTTTATATACGACATATATATTTTTCCAGAATTCAATTTCCTATAATTAAGGGTGCATATAACACACGAGTGCGTATTATACGCGAATAAATAAATCTTGTGAACATTGATCAATCCGAAGGGGTGCTAATTGGGATTGTTTACTAGTCGATATATTAGCAAATATCGCCGTGGGCGCTTATTAGAGCGGGGCGCTTATTACGTCGAATACAGTATATCGTCGGATCTGAGGTTTTTGGATGTCATACCTTTTCGGACAGCCGTGTTTATTGCGATTACTCACGCTATAATGGGGGTGTAACATCACACAGACATTTTAAATACTCAGAAGATTGCTTGTTTTTAAGAGAAAGTTGTCTTTTAAAAGTGAATGAGATGTTTTACGGTTGATTAGAGAGAAAACTCAGGATGTTTCTTGAGCTTCCAAAATTCCTCACGTAACATATCATAAAAAAAAACTGTGGAACTGTGAATTGTCTTTCATCATGTTCTTGTCAAACTGTAGCTTGTCTAGTCATCACTTTTTCAGTAGAATAACCATGGTAAAATTAGCATGATTAGCTTGAATGCACAAACATTAGTTTGCATTATTGTTCTTTTAGGCATATGAGAAGCGTTTCCCGACCTGCAAGATGATTCCAGTATTTCTTGGTAGTGATATCATGAATGAGTTCCGGAGTGAAGATGGGGCAGAGCATGTGGTGGAGAGAAGATGTCGACTCAATGTTGAAGCACCTTACCTTCTGAAAAAGGTATGTTATTTTATCTATAAACATGATTAGAGAAAGAATATTAATTACTGTACTAAAAAACTATTTGGTTGTTTTCTTCCCTAGTGTACAGTACATTCACCCTGTGCACTCAAAAGAACCCACTCGTCTGATAGTAGATGACCAGATGGTGGAAACACGAATACGTACATAACCTCAACACTGCTCAAAAAACACAAGTGTCAAATCTTGTGGTGTCACCCTGGGCAAGTTACTTATTTCAAATGTGCCTCTGTTCACCCAGCAGGGAATGGGTACCTGATAATCAGTTATATGTGAGGTGGATGTAGAAACCTTCTAGCGCCCTTAGGCAGCTTGGGTTGTATACTCCCCGGGGAATTAAGAATAACTGGAATGCAAACGGGTCCACCATGTCCACTGGTTGGGGAACAAATAAAAGTGCATTTTAGCAGATACTAATACCTTGATACCTGCAATATATCAATGTATAACAATAATAATAATAATAATTTTCAGCAAGTTCAGTAGATCAAGTTATTGATCCATTGATACACCATTTGTAACCCAGATAATCACAATAATGGTTGATATGTTAACAGCTGCTTTAACATGTTTAGAGACTGTATTTCCCTTTCTAAGACTACAGCAGGGCTGTTGGGTAGCCTAGTGGTTAAAGCTTTCGTTCGTCACGCCGAAGACAGGGTTTCGATACCCGACATGGGTACAATGTGTGAAGCCTCTTTCTGGTGTCCCCCGCCGTGATATTTGCTAAATGCGGCGTAAAACCATACTCACTCACTCACTCACTCACTCACTCAGACTACAGCATTCCACATGTAGAAGCCTTGGATCCAGTGTAATATTAAAGGTTATGGAGAAAATAGCTTTGTGATGTGTTTTATGTTTCCAGATTGTTGGCGTTGACCATGTGATTTTCATCCAGAAGAATACCCTCAATCGTAGAAACAGAACTCTTACAATAGAAGCTAACAACGAGAGCTTTTCATCGAGGATAATCATCAATGAGAACTGCCATTACTCTGTGAGTAAATGTGTTTGAACATTATCCCAGTTGCCAAGATCAATGCTCATGTCAGTCAATGAATTGTCTGGTCCAGACTCAATTATTATGGACCACCGCTTAAAGCTGGAATATTGCTGATTGCGGCGTTAAACAACAAACAAACACAGATAGTAAAATGTTCAAGGTTAAGTCCGTCATGTCAAATACTATGCTCATTCACATAGCATACATACTTGACACAATCATGTAATACTCACAACATTTATCACATGGGGTTAGAGAAAGCTATTTTCCTTAAATGTTATCATTCCATTAAATGTTCACTACAGTAATGTAAAACATTAAAGGCCTCTTCATCTATTGATACTGTTTACAGTGAAGTAGGGTTGACCTATACTGTCATAACAACATTAGTACACCCATGAAGATTCGTGGTAGAATAGGTCTGCAGCAACCCATGCTTGCCGTAAAAGGTGACTATGCTTGTCGTAAGAGGCGACTAACAGGATCGGGTGGTCAGGCTCGCTGAGTTGGTTGATGCATGTCATCATATCCCAATTGCGTGGACTGATGCTCATGATGTCAATCACTGGATTGTCTGGCACTGACTCAATTATTTACAGACCACTGTCATATAGTGGAATATTGCTGAGTGCGGCGTTAACTATTCAAAGTCATAACATTAGTCATAACCATAGTAACAATAAAATGAATTGGAAAATATCAAGTTCAAATTGCCTCAGAGCAAGGCTAGGTAAATCCTGGGATTACCAGTACTGGTTGCACCATCAGATCTTTTGTATCTGTCAATGTTGTCTTGGTGTTACATGTTTACTCATGTTCACCTCCCTGTTGGACCATTCTACACTTGTCCACGAAACTAACATGACTAAACCCATGTTTTTGCATGACAAATTTGGTGAGTTATTAAGAAAATAGTGCAGTGGGCTGGGGGAACACACAAAGAGTGTGTGGAATATGAGATTTGCGTTTACATGGTACAGATATTATCAACATAATCAAAGACGATATCTCATTATTTTACCGGATTTAAATAAAGTAATAACCCTAACATTTGGCAAACAAAATTCAATACTGAACATGAGTCATCTGTTTATTTCCTTATCCATGACAATAAGCAAATATTTCCTGGTACACTAGGATTTATCATCATACATAAATCACAGCTCTGACTATGTACATTTTAAGTTCTTATTGTGTCAAAGTTAGGAATGTAGAAAGTATAGTGGCAGTATTATATATTTTGTTGTGGGTTTACATACCGGTATGTCCTGTTGTTTCTGAGGGCCAGGGCATCTACAGCAAAAGCGAGTTCCGTCAAAGGAATGTTTGTGTTCTGCGTGGGTTTTCTGTTGTGCATTTGATATTTTTGAATCGATGTGATTTAAAAAAATGGATCGTTTTTGAAAGCAGGCAGCTGATTGGCTTCAGAACACACACATCCTTCATTTAGTTTAGGCGGTCAAAGTTCACTGAAGGTTCACCTAATAGGACCTTCTACATGTTCTATGGGGGTATCCTCTAATGTAGGGAGGTATTGTGTCAGAACAAAATATCACACTTTCATGAAATTAATTCAATGACAACTGCACAGAAAAGTAAAATGCTTAAATTTTGTAAATGATGAGGTAAAGTAAACTTCAGTTTTTTGCTTCTTACATGCTTTTCATATTTTTCTGTTTTCTTTTAACTATTGAACTCACGCAAATTGTTTTCCTTGTACATTTAACATGTTCAAACATTGAAAAGAAAAGTGTTTAAGATTGACAAATACACTGTCAAAACTTGGTAATGTATAATGGTATAGATATGCCTTCTCAGAAGTATGGATAACATTTTCCTTGTGAATTAATGTCACAAGACTTATCCGCTTGGCACAGTTTTTCAGTAATACCTTGTTTCTCATAAGTTGTTCAACAAATGAATGATACATCTGGAGTTTTAGTATAGTTATGATAGGTTTGTTACTAAACATGCTCAAGGAGAGAAGTTTGTGCTCTGGTTTTCTTTTGGTATGTAACCAGTTTTATATAAAATATGGAACATGTGGAAGAATTATGCATTGCAACATCACCATATAAAGTTGCACCAGGATGGGTGACACTAAGGCATCAATTTTCCTTCTTGTAAACTGACAGGAAAGTTAAAGTCTTGTCTGACGACTATGTTAAGCAAGCTTTTATTTGCCTCTGTAACTGGTAATACTTGTTATTTCATGTTACTCCATTTTGATGATATTCTTGCATTACCATGCTTTTGCATTGTTTGATTGCCCACATGGCTATTATGTGTGAAAGATATTTCTGGTGTCCCCTGCCATGATATTGCTGGAATATTGCTGAAAGTGTCTGTTGTCTGTGTTTTAAGTAAGTGATGTAAACAGGTCTGTGTTAAAAACTAAAATATGAAATTGATGGAAGGATTTACCTGTGGGTTGTGAACTTGGAGAAATTCCATATCTCTGACTGTTACATTTTATTGGTTTACTAGTTTTAAATGAATAAAACAGGTTGCAGAAGCCTAAGAAATGTAAGAACTAGATATTATTGTAGTAGTTCTACTGTAGGCATGTTAGGGATGATGTGTACTCACTGATGTCTGTCAGGGCGGTGTGGTAGCCTAGTGGTTTAAGTGTTCGCTCGTCACACCGAAGAACCGGGTTCGATTCCCCATGTGGGTCCAATGTGTACACTGGTGTCACTGTCGCTATATTGCTGGGATATAGCTAAAACAGTGTAAAACCAAACTCACTCACTCCATGTCGTCTGTCATTATACGCCCTCTGTGGATCATTGCCTGTGCTGTGAACCCACTCTTTGGCTTGGCTCACACTGTCATAAACATGATAAAGATGGAATATCACTAACTGGAGTAGAAAAGGCATCCAATCACTTCGATCAAATGCATTTAGAAACCATCAAGTGTAGGTCATAAGATGATATGTTTCTTGTAACTCAGCAAAATTCCAGTTCCATGACGGCAACATGTAACTTGGAAACTTATCATGAAGCCATGTTTTGACCATGTTGACTTCAGTCTCCATTATATCTGGGACCTGGATTCTATCGCTTGCCTTAGCCTGATTCACTGAAAAATGTTCACATGTTTCCTGGGGGCACGGGTGGCCCAGTCGTCTAAGGCACCACGATTCGCTGTGCAGAGTTGCGTCCCTTGGGCACGCCAGAAACCTATGATTGTGAGTTCGAATCACGGTTCGCCCCGATTATGTTTCTAGGTTTGTCAGCACCATACCCGTGCTCGTGGGTTTCACCAAAGTGGTAAACGTCTGAGGCCTGCATCACTTGGAGCTTTCCTCCCACATTAAGCTGACACACCGCGATTTAACTGGAATACTGTTAAAAGCGGCGTTAAACCCAACTCTCTCATTCACTCCCATGTTTTCTGAACCTAACCAAATGCATCAATGTTTCAGTGTATCATCAGGCCTCAAAGTTTAAATTTTTACCAAGTAGCCATATGGCTACAAGTATTTTTTACCAGGTAGTCAGTGGTAAAATCAAGAAGTCAAGCCAATATTGTAGGTAGCCAAAAGCATTTGAAATTATCTTTTATCAAAAACCTATTATCTGTACAAGTCATAGCGCTAATCTTGGAATTGTATAGTAGTGGAAACTGTACTTGAGCTTTGTTATTTGTGACTTGAACAATGATGCAATTTATGTTACTAGATTATATGGGTATATCCTTGCTTATCCAATAAACTATCAACTAAATTATAATAATAATTACATTAATATTTATGTAGTTCGGTTCATTGTTGACTTTAGGAGGAATTATTTGTGAGTACAGTTAGTAGCAGACATGTTTATTTTTGTGTCTACATATGTATCAATGTATAGCAATAAAATTTAGTTGCCACAGGATATTTTTCAACATGTTCAAGGTAGTCATTTGGCTACCTCTGAATTTTTAGACAGTAGTCAAACTGAAATTTAGGTCGCATTTGTGACCGTTTTAGTCGCAACTTTGAGGCCTGATCATGTACTTTTGTTATACTGTATTTTAAAGGGCATGTAGATAGAGAAAAGAAAGTGCTTCAATTTTTCTTAAAGTACTTAAAACGAATCTATCATTTGTATAAAATATTCTACTACAACTATGTAAACCTTTAAATAACTGCAAGGTAAGTTTGATTTGAGTCTTATTTCTGAAACAACATAAGCTTCTAAAGAAGGTGAATCCTTCTCCAGACACTGAAGTCAATAAACCATGGGTCTGACAGTCCTTGGTCTGAAAGAGAACAAATGGATTTTAATCTCTCAGGGGCACTGTATGATGAGTGGTGTTTTGGCTCAGCCCTATGAATGTGCGTTTTGGCTGACAATACTGCAAGTTAAGTGGACGGCCCACAATCTTCCATCTTGCTCCAGGTGTTATTAATGCCAGCGGACCCATGAAGATCCAAGATAAAATAGGTCTTCAGCAACCCATGCTTGCCGTAAATGGCAACTATGCTTGTCGTAAGAGGTGACTAACGGGATCGGATGGTCAGACTCGCTGACTTGGTTGAAGCATGTCATCGATCCCAATTGCATGGATCGATGCTCATGATATTAATCACTGGATTGTCTGGTCCAGACTTGATTATTTACATACCGCCGTCATATAGCTGGAATATTGCTGAGTGTGGCGTAAAACAACAAACCAACCAACTAATGCCAGCGACCACTTTCACATGGTTGGTCAGTCTCCGTTGTATTCCTCGGACAAAAAATCTAAATTATGTGGTCAATCTTTGTAAATCTTGCATCCAAAGTTTGATAATTCTGCAAACTTTTAAGCTTAGTTTTGGTGAATTTTGTAGTTTTGCACCTGTTTGACTAGTGCCATTCATTTTTATGATAAACGTATCCACAGTTAGAATAGCTTATTGAAGTGAATCTGGAGATACCTAGTGTAAACATACAGACATGCGTTTTCAGTAAACACCAATACAAAAGTCAACTTCACTATTAAACAAAATAAATATCTGTGTA